TTAAAGTAGGAGAGCACTAATTTAAGGTGGGTCTTTTTATTGTTATTACCAAAAATAATTATGCCCCATCAGAAAATACTAAATCTATATAAAATAGATTACAAGCTAATAAGTGTGAGTTTCAATCAGATATATATAAACTTTTTGAAACACCTATTATAAAAAGATTTCTGTTCCGCTTTGTATTTTTTGAAAATGGACTGTTTGGTGGTTGGGTAGGATGACCGTATTATTTTTAAGGAAATCTGGGACATTACTCCCCTGCTGATCCCTGCCCCAGGCAGGAGGAGTGGTGCCCAGCCCAGCCCACCCCACCTCAGACACTGCTCAGGAGAGCACCAAAGGGCACCAAAATACAAGTTTGCCCAGGACACCACACACACGCGCGCGCACACAGACACACATGTGAGCAGCCCATGCTCACACCACTGCTCTCCCCCTGTCCTGCCCTGGCTGATCCCTGCCCCAGGCAAAAGAAGTGGTACTCAGGCTAGCCCACCCCCCGCCTCCAGCCACCGCTCAAGAGGAGCTGGGTGGACAGTTTGGGTGGGTTAGCACCAATCCAGGATTTTTGTTTCCATTTTCACCAACCAGCCAGGATATTGGGACACCCTATGAAATCTGGGACTGTCCCAGCCAAACCAGGACATATATGGTCACCCTCTGGTTGGGGGCAGGTGGAGCTCTTTAAAGGGTCATTAATGTTATTAATTTAAAGCAAAATCTTTTAAAAATAAATCAGAATTTCTTTACTAAAGAAACCTATCTGCATGAGAACTGCTTTACTGACATACAAAAACTGGGCAAGCATCTTAAGTCTGGAAGCTGTGTTACCAGCAAACCTGCACTATAGTAAAACGATCATCTCTGATTCTTCTATGGAAAAACAACCCTCCCATGAGTGAAACAAGCTAGACCACATCTAACCTCCTCATACCTCTGGCTAATATCAGTATGCCTGTAGAAATCTGTTGTCTAGGCATAGCCCATTTTTAATAAGAAGAATGTACATTTCTGAGTATGTATGTCCTTGGTGTTAAGTCCCCACAGATGGAAACGTAAGTGAGACGTGAAGTTTCTGGATAACAGCTGGGACCTAGCAAGGGAACAAAATACTGAAAATGTTCACACAAGATTGTTCTAGAAATATTTTCCACTCTTAGATACAGCTTTAGTTGCAATATATTTCCAGTATTCTTTTCCCATGCCCTTTATTTAGCAAAGGCATATGAAAACTTTCTTCATTACTAGTTATCACACTGCTGTTTTTGTCTTAACCAGATCATTCGTTAAGTTGTCATAGTTTTGAAGTGGAATTTTCAAATGATCTGCTGTTGAATGAACTAGCAAGATAGTCCTCATATAAATAAATTGATTATCAGATATATATGGTCTAGAACAAATAGCATTAGTGAAATGTAAATAGGAAACCAAAGAGCTTGATGAATGGAAAGAAGCGCTTAAAATACTTGTGTCAGGAATCACAAAGAAACTTCATTTTGCACAGGCTTGAATTAGTAGATCTAGGTGCTATGTGTCTTCTCTTCACATGCTTAAAGAGTTTGTGGAAAGGAAAAAAGATCAAATGTCTAATTAATCTTTTGATGCGTCACCCAGCAAGCTGTGGCACACTCACAAGGAAGGAGGACTGGGGTAAGGACCTACGCACATTTTCCGTTATTTATTTTATAGGGAAATGAGCACTCACAATTTCCAAAACTAGAAGCCATGCCCTTTTTTTCTTTTTTTTCCTTTTCTTTTCTTTCTTTTCTTTTTTTTTTTTTTTTTTGCTTTGCATACTATTTATTTCTCAAATAAAATAAAATAAAAATCAAAGCCTTCTGGCAACTTTACAGAAACCAGTCCCCATTTGCCTTGATGTGGGACATGAGATGGTATCTGTCCTGGCCAATATCAACTGCTTCTAGTATTAAAAATATTTTGGTTGCTCCTTTGATTTCCAAATAATTTCAGAAAACTACCTTGGAAATCTATAGGGCAATTTGATTCTTAACAGAGACTGCCCCTCACACAATGAAGTCTGGGAAAAAAGGGTTTATGTGAGCACTGCTCTGCATCACGGTTGTGGGAACATCACCAGTTTAGCCAACTGAATCGCTAAAGGGCCAAAATAAATTTGACCTAGGGCCAGATCTTCAGTTGGTGCAAATCAACAAAGATTTGTTGACTTCAGTATTGGAGGCAGTTGATATTGGCCTGACTCACTTATCCAATGAATAGCATTTGAGACTGAGTCATCTGACTTTTCCAAAAGCTGTGCCAGTTTACTCCAACTGATGATCTGGCCCCCCAAGTATTTTCTTTCTTTGACATCATTGTATAGGAGGAAGTGTGTGAGTGTGCGTGTGTGGTATAAAGATGCGGAGAAACAAAATTGGTCATAGAATTTGGAAGTCAGTTGCAAACTCCTGGAGCTTTTGGAAAGGTTAGAAGACTCCATCCCAATTGCCGTTGGATGGATGAAGTGAGTCATTTCCAGACAAGAGGTGAAAACACGCAGGAGGAAAGGACATAAAAATTCCCAGATGGATTTAGCCGCTATGAGCATAAAAATAAATTCTGATTATAAGGTTAACGTGGCTGGTTTGGGGGCGGGGGGGGATCCATTCTAGTATGTTTTATATGGAGAGAGATTATTTATTAACATTAAATCTCATATTGACTATGGCTGGATGAGCCACTGTAAAAAATATTGCGAAATCTTCTAATGTCTAAAACTTGGAAGCATATGAATAGAAGTTAAACCTCAAAGACATTCACAGAATTGATTTAATGGTTTGTTCTGTAATGATCAACATTACCCTCGGGTCTAATAAGTAAATATAATGCTCTGCTGTGGTGATGAACTAAAACAATTGTCTGATGCTAGCCATGCAGTTGGTGGGGGAGGGAAGGTTGACCTTTTGCATCAATGGAGAAAACCAAACATTTTGTGCTCTCTTCTTCATCTTGGAATGCGATTCTAATTCATCTCAACCTCCAACTAGCTTCACTGAGACCTTGCCACAGCCAAGGAACGTGGGACTGGGCACCAGTTGGTGAAGTGCCGATTCTGTATTCAATGCATTGCTAGGGACAGCGGGGGGAAATGGAACATTACATGGTCCTGGTATCTTCTGAAGGTTGCATTTCATGGTTGTGATTTCACTACTTGGTGATCCAGCCTATTGGCAACAGGATAAATTGTACTCTGATTTTTAGTCACTTCTGCTATCTCTCTCTTATAGCCCAGCAGAGAGCTGTTCCAAAGTTGTCTGGGTAATATTAGCCTAGAAACAAGCATGAGGGCTGTTAACCCCGGTTTTTTTTCTGACTGTGGAGAGGATTGTCTCTTATTTTATTTTTACATTACTTAGTACAGTGATTCTCAGTCAGGATGCTGGGGCACCCTGGGGTGCTGTGAGATACTTTGAAGCCTGCCCCAGGGAGTATGAGGAGATAAGCAGATAAGGGCAGGCTCAGGGTCTCCCTGTCTTGATACTCCCCTGCTCCCACTGTCCAGCCCCTCTGCAAAGAGGTAAGCATCATAATAAATTAATTAGTTTTTGAAAAAGTGTGCTGCTTAATTTTTAAAGGTCACAGAGACTTGCCTTGAGCCTAAAAAAGTTGAGAACCACTGACTTAGTACAAGGCTTTGATGCCTCAAGTTCCAGTATGATAGCAATATGTCATAGGAATGGAAGGAGACTTTCTCTATTAACTTAATTTTTTAAAACTTACTTCTACAGTCCATCAATGAAACCAATTACAATTCGGAAACCTGTTACAGACTAAACACAGACAGCACAGAGTCTGGTAATGTCACAGACTACTTGCAGATCACTCATATCATAACAGAATTTAAAGAATCCCTTGATGCAGTAGCAGAGTTTACCTTTAGTTTAGTTTGGGGTGCTTGATTTGACCTGCATACTGCAAAGCGACAGGGGCAGCTGACCAGCTTGTGTCCCAGGTAACTGTACTGCTTCCTCTGCCCCAGAACCGACTTCAGCCTTGATGCACGTATAACTTTATAGCACATGGGTTTTTGAGCAGTACTCTTTGTAAAGTGGGTGTTGTAAAAGGTATTTGAACTGGCTGCTGTAAAGTGAATATCTAGGTCCTGATTCATCAAGGTAGGTAAGCATATGTCTAACTTCTTCCTGCATGTGCCCCAACTGAAGTCCCAGGTCAGAGCTCCTTAACTATTTCCTCTCATACAAAATCAGTCACTTCTTGAATCTGATTCTCATTTACCCTAATGCTCCTTTTTATCATTCTTGCAGCATAAATGGGCTATTAAGTGTGTATAATTAACAGGTACTTGAAAGCTCTGACATTGGTGTAAAGCAGCCATCGTGCAAATGAGAATTGGACCCTACATCTTTATATATAAAGCTCAGTTTTGGAAGCTGTGTTTCTAATAATAAAAATACTAATAGTAATAATATTTGATTAGGCTTCCACTGTATCCACTGGGGACCAGGAAAGCTAGAGCAAATCATCAGTTAGGAGCCGAGGGTTCGAATGGTAAACATTTAACAAGGAAACTTCCTTTCTCTGCAGCCATCTCCCTTTATTAATTAGACTGTTCCCTCTATTTTTAAAAGAGAACTAGCCTCCCCCTTCGAGTCAAGACCTTTCTGGGAGTTAGGCACCAGACATTCATTTTAATTTTACATGTGGAGTTAATCTACAAAGAGTCATGTGTTGATTTATATCCAGACCTTGAAAAAAGGCTATCTAATGGCCTGCATGTGATTATATTTCCGTTCCCTTTTGAGATGTCCAAAGACAATAACATCTCTTTTTGGGGGGGCTGCAAGTACAAGTATACAATAGTTTAGTCTTTGACTCTGACTTACAAAGCTACATACTTTTCTGCCTGCCAGCTCCTTTGCCTCTTCAGATGCTACAAAATATAGTACTTCACATGCCTTTAAATTTTCCTTTAAGCAGTGCAATTATTAAAAAAAAAAAAAGATTTGAAATAAACTTACTAGTCTGCCTTTATGTGGCCTTTTCCTTCTGGGTCAAATATCTTAAAAGCATTCAGAATGGTCTCTTCTGGGTCTGTGCCTAAAAATAAATTAAATATAATTTAGTTGTTCATGTGTGTGTTTGTGTAGCTACCTAATATTTGTTAAATAATTGAATTCATTTAAAAACACAGGAAAAAATGGAGAACTCTGCAGTTGTAGGCTGGAAAACAAAGGTTTCTTGAGTCGGCAGCATTTGTCATGTCAGATAAACAATGAAGGTGAATAGTTCAATGTTCAGAAGCTTAAAAATAATAGCTCATATCTATTCTGTGTCTGCAGGAGAGAAAACTTCCAGGAACTGGTCTCCAATATCAGTACCCAGAGGATTAGTGGCTTTCAGAAATGAAAATATAACAAACTGTTTCCCCGACTGGTTTCCTTTAATCTTGTACTGTACATTTGTTGTAAAAACACTTTTTGATGTTTTTTAGTCCTCACTATATAGGGAAGAGGTTATTTCCCTCACAAAAGGAAGTGGAGGTAGTCACAAAACTGAAATGCCAATGTAATGCAATGGAAACAATGGATCAATGTATAATAGTGATTTGCACTTATGTTCTGTAGAGTGCTTCCCTTGGAGTATCTCAGAGCACCCTACATCTCACACCTATATGTCTGAGGAGTAGATATACATGACTTAGAGGAGGAGGAGCATCAAGGCACAAGACCAGGATCTAGGAGATTTGGCCTTGGTTCTAAGATCAGCAAAAGACTTTCTGCTTAACCTTGAACAAGTCATTTATGGCCTGTCCACATTGCCCCCAAGGTGAATCCAAGAGCACCACCTGGAAGCACTCTGCCCCACCTCCCCCTCTTCCCACCTACTCACTCCCTCTTAGCATGCATGAGAGCCAGAAATTAGACAGTGCAGCTGGTTTAGCACGGTTTACTTTGCCAGAGAACAAGCCAAGCAACACTTAAAAGACAGAGAGCTGGAGAGGTTCTGGGTGAAGCCAAGGCTGCACTGAACCACTGCTGCATTTCTAGGGTCTGGCATGAGCTGTATAGGGGCAAGAGTAGAACGTGGTGTTCTTCAGCTTCTCCAGAGGCAGTGTAGGCATGCCCTTAGTCTCTCAGCCCCTCAGTCCCCATCTGTGAAACAGAAATAATATGCCTTACCCTCCCACACTGTTGTTCTGTCTCATCTACTGAGACTGAAAGTATTTTGGGTCAGGAACTCTTTTTCACTGTGTGCATGCATAGCACTGAGCACAATGGGCCCTGCTCCCTGGTTGAGACCCTGAGTGACACCACAGTACGAGTCATTCTAAATAGTAATAATAAGGAATCTGTTTTACAAACAACTGAACTGAATCCCAAAATCTTCGAGTCTTCAAAGTATAACTGAAGGCACAGACAGAAGTAACAATTTTTGCCTGATCTAGCCCCTGAAAGTGCTCTATAGCCACGACCAAACAGAAGTGCATGGCTAAAGAATACCTAACAGGTTCTGATCCTGCAAAGATCTGAACCCTCATCGCCTGAGGGTTCAGATGAAGATGCCACAGAACAAAATAGGGGGTTTTCAGCTAGTGCTGGATGGGGGAGGGGGGGCTCCAATCGACCCACCCCACCCTCCAGCACCAGCTGGAGAATTCCCAGAACAAGATCCCTTCACTCCCTTTCCCCCTTCCATTCTGAAAACAGTGCCAAGGCTGCAAAGAGGGCAGGGGCATTGCTAGGCTTGCAGCTGCTTTAAACAGAAGCTGGATTCCCCAACCCCAGGACCCAACAATGAATTTCTCTTGGGTCCCAGAGATCATTGTAACTCACAGTGCTTCCTGCAAAGCACCATGAGTTACAATGCGGAGCTGCTCTTCTGTCTGTAGCTGATAATAGTTTCTGTGAGTAGCAATGTCACTGTCACACAACATGACAGAGACAGAAGCAGGATTAGAACCTAGGGATTCTGTTTCTCAGCTGCTTGGTCTATGTATTAATCATGCCTCTAGACCACCCCCAGAGAGGTTTGTTTTCTTCAAAAATTTCAAAAGAACTTTTAATACATGGAGGTGCAGTATCAGAACAGCTAGAGTGTTTAATGATCCATGGACCAATGGGTCTTTTCCTAAGCCTTTCCACCACTGGACGTGGAGTATTCTTCTACCAATTTCTGGATGTTCATTTCAAACAACAGTGACTACGTGCTCAAGATAATGAGTGTTTTGATTGTCCCATGTGGCAAAACTTCTCACAGCTCCAAGGAGGGGGTTGCATCTTAAGCAGTCACCACTGTGTGGGGGATTTTTTTTTTTGTTCTACATTTTCTACTCTGTCGTATCCTTGGACTTTGGCTTTGAAGAGAAGCAATGCAGCAGGCATTCTTTATTGATTAGCTGGTAAATAAAGTGGTTTCTTTGATGTGCGGCATCTCTGTTTTCTGTACAAATTGTATTATTCTGACTCCCTGTAGAAACAGCTCCATGTGGTTGGCATTAACATAAACTGAGTTTTGTTAGCTGTTCATCTGGCATCATAATATCAATATACAAAGCTAAAGCTCGTCTCAAAAATCCCAGCTTCCCTTTTATGACAGAAATCAATTATAGCACAACAAATTTTACTTAGAAAGCACCTTTCACCAAACTCTCTGAGTGGTACTTAGCTAATAAAAAGTGTTGCAAAATTGCCATATCCACTTCCTCCAGCCCTTTCTCCCTTTATAATTGTACTACAAAGACTCTTCATCCCAATTAGTTTTGATTGGGAATGTGCAGTCTTTTGGCTCTGCTTATTTTGCATGACAAACCCAACCAGAAGGGCATGACAAGCACAGCTGTGATTTTCCCTTCCACAAATGGAAAAAAAAAAGCTCTCCTGCTAATAGCCAACAGGAAACCTGCAGACAAGAGGGGCATGCTTCACCCGTTTACCTTCCTGTGCTGGCTCCATTTTCATGCCACACAGTTGGCAGGGCTCAAATCCCATCAGGCATCAGTGATTGTGGGAAGCAGAGGGAAGAAAAGGAAATAGGAAGAGGGGCATTTTGCCATGCTCTGTGTGATCACAGACATCATGAATGGGCAGCGCCGGCACACTAGTGCACTCCAGAAGGATGAATCAAAATACCCAGTGTGCCCCAGAAAAAACACTATGAATGAGGCTGAGTTTTACCTTCTAAGGTCTTGCCAAC